CCCCATGGGAATGGCGCCCCGGCGCTCCGTAGAGCTTTCCAATTCTTGCCAAACATAGGGTTTTTTTTTTTTTTTTGGATTTTTTTTAATCTCTGTGTCGCGTGCCGGGGCCGGCCGCGGCATTCCCACAGCCCGGTATTCCCATAGCCCAGCATTCCCACAGCCCGGTGTTCCCGGGCGACCACCTCCCCCAGCCCAGGGCATTTTTAGGGCAAAAGCCCCTAGTTAAAGGTACTGCAGGCGCGCCGCGACGTCGGAGCATCCCTGTCCTTGCTGGCGTGTTTTGTATCCGTCCGTTATTCCCGTGGAGCGTCACGTTGCCTGGTAGACCCCGGCTCGGGGCTCTCCTGGTGCAGCGTGAAAGGAAAATCCCCCCCTGTATCAGTATTAAATTTTCCAAGTTTTCCTCATGGCTCCGCTGGGCTCCTCATGGCATCGTACCAGGAAAATCTCTGCGCCTTCGGCCGCAGCCTGGGCAGAGGGCGAAGGCGCCTGGCTGACATTCCTGGAGGAAATTCCCGAAATTGCGATTCCCAAGGTCTTGGGGCAGCTTTGGGAGGCAGCCAGGGATGGGGTGGGGTGGGATGCGGTGGGTGGGGATGGAGATGGGATGCGGATAGGATGGATGGGATGGGATGGGATCGGGATGGGGTCGGGATTGGACGCGGTTTGGCCGCTCGCCAGCAGGGGGCACCCGCCCCCCCCGCCGCGTCCCGGGAAGCGGCCGGAGCCCCCAGCCCTCAATTTTATTTTATTTTTTATTTTTATTTCCTTCTCCGTTTCTGTTTCTCTCTTTTTTTCTTCTTCTTTTTTTTTAAACCTGTCTCCTCTCTCTCTTTTCTTTTTCGTTTTTTATCTACTCTTTTTTCCCTTCATTTTTCCTTCCTTTTTTCTCTTTTTCCCCCCTCTCTCCTTTCCCTCCTTTTTGTCTCTCTTTTTTTCCCTTTTTTCTCTCTCTTTTTTCCCTCTTCTTATCTTTTTTCCTCTTTCTCCTTCCTCTTTTTCTTCCTTTTCCCTCTTTTTCTCTCTTTTTTCCTCATTTTTCATTCTCAATTTTTATCTTTTTTCTCTCCCTTCTTTTTTCTCTCCCTTCTCCTTATCTTCTTTTTCCCTTTTTCTTCTCTTTTCCATTTCCTCCTTTTCCTGTCTTTTTTCTTGTCTTTTTTTTCCTCCTGTCTTTTTTTTCTCCTTTTTTCGTCTTTTTTCCCCTTTTTTCTGTCTTTTTTTCTCCTGTCTTTTCCCCCCTCTTTTTTCCTCTCTTTTTTCCTGTCCTTTTTCCCTCTTTCTCTTTCCTCCCCTCTTCTTCCCCCCTTTATTTCTTCTTCTTCCCCCCCGCTCTTTTCCCCTCTCCACCCCCGTTGTTACGTCACCGAGCCCC